GCTAAAAAAAAAAAACTACAATGCAGAAATGTTACCAAAATAACAATCCACCCACAGGAATAACAAGAAGTTCGACCACATAGAAAAGTATGTACGCTTCAAAAAAGATGGTGTATGTGACTTTACAATTGAAAATGAAATTATGCATGTGCTTTTATTTAAAAAATAAAAAATAATAAAAATACATAAATGAGATTCACATTGCATCTTTTAAAATTTCTGGAATCACTCTGTAAGTGTGTTACTAGCCTAATATTTGCCTTTGATAAAAAATGAGGATGAGATTTAATTCTTTTGCTGTAGTCAACACTATGCCACAAAGGTTGTCAATAGCACTTAACTTAAACCTGGAACACTCATTTAAGTGTGTATGTGTATACTTGCATGAAGGGGGTGTTGTGCCGCTGTGCTTTTTCTAATTGTTCATTAATTAGCGATTTGCTCTCACCAGGGGGTGAAGAACATGAGAGCGACTCAGAGGTTTGGTTCTAATGGATTGTGAAGGCCACCTACCCATAGTACAATGACCACTACTAAACAATTTATACCGTTATCCTACTATCAAAGGCCTAAACACACACATATCCACAGAGTTAGCAAAGAGTAGGATAGCAGGAGACAGAAAGTGAAGCAGAGAGAAAAAGAGAGGGAGAGAGACAGTGGTGGCAAAGATCAAAGCAAGAGAGCCAATGCAGCACAATGGAGCACAAGTAACATGGCATGTAATGGCGCTTTTCCACTGCATGGTACGGCACGGTACGGCTCGGTACGGTTCACTTTTGGGGGGTTTTCCACTGGGTACAGTACCTGGTACCTGGTACTTTTTTTAGTACCACTTCGGTTGGGGTTCCAAGCGAACCGTACCGTTACCAAAACGTGACGTGTAAACTCTGCTGATCACGGATTGGCCGGAGAGAATCGTCACTACCTGCGTCACTGAACTTGCGACACAAACACAAAAGAACCGCTAGATTTAAATCAGCACAGCCAGCGAAGGATCGAATGCAACTGTTTTGAACGAGCTTTTTTTCACCTTTTTTTAACAACCAAAAAGTGGCTGTTCCCCCTGTTGAGGAAGTACAGACGTTGCTCTCGTTGATAGCAGAGGAGCGGATCCAGTGAGAGCTTGATGGGGCGACGCGGAATGAAAAAGTTTTTTAGGAGTCCCGGCAGTAGAGGCGGCGCAACTATAATGACATGTGAATAATCCCGCCCACTCTAAAGCGATACTAAACTGCAGTGGAAACACAAGCCGACCCGAGCCGTGCCGTACCGTACTGAGCCGAGTCGTACCACGCAGTGGAAAAGCGCCATAAAAGAACAAGAGAAACACACACACACACACACACACACATAGCAGTTCTGATGAGAGGGGTGGGCTCACTGATGGGCCCGTTGAAACACACCACTGCCCGAGGACAATGACTGGCCCGCTGGTCATCCTACACACTCTCACACACAATCAAATCTGTATGCTAACTGCTAACAATATTGTACACATGGAGAAGCAGTGCTTCATTTAAAAGACCCCTTTTTGACAAACATGTATCCTGTTGAAAGTTGGGGCAGGATATTGACGGGCTAGTTGCATCAAGGCTGCATTTATTAAATTAAAATCACAGTAAATACCTTAATATCAAGCTGAATATGAACTGTAAGACAATTCAAATCTTCCCTGTTTTTCTATATATCATCTAAATGACAGAATCATTTAGCCCCTGGTAGTAAAAAAAAAAGCACACAGTATTTCGGCCCATGCTAAAGTGCGCAACTGAAAAGCTCACTACACCCCAATGACTTCACTCTCTCATATCCATCCTCACTTTCACCCCTCCATCTCTATCTCCGCTTTGAAAGAATGGAGCAAGTCTTAATTTAATTAAAATATTCCCTCTGCATGCTAAAGCGTAAAGTCTCTTCTTAGTGAAGGAGCTTCATGCAGAGGCCAGTGATAAGATAACAGGGCCTACTAATCAAAACAAGACATCAACTAATCTAATCTAAATCACTAACAATTACCAGCGTGCCAAGCCACGCTCCCTTTTGATCAATGTTTTCTATTAAAAAGTGAAACAATTCAATATTCCGGCACGCTAATGCACTGAAGCCTCATTAGCACATCGTCCTTGGGATGGAGGCGTTGCAAACGCACACACAGACGCTAATTCGTGGTTAATTTACGGGACGAGGACCATCTCCCCTTCATCAGAGCGCAGAGGACTGTTGCAGCGTGAGAGAGACTATGAGAAAAGAAAATATTTTTCTTTAATTTATGGCAGCATCACACTGAGGTGCCTTCTTGTTCCTGTTCTTTGCTTTCTTATGCATTTCATTCAAGGGCATCTCATTTCCTTTTAAAATTCATACAGCAAAACGTCTGAATAAATTTGCCACACGCCAGATATTTCATCATGTCCTGAAAACCCCTCCCCCGTGGTTCTGTATGTTTATGCCACTGCGTTTCACACTATTCTTCCTCTAAAACAGGATGTCAGGAGAACTGAAATGTTATTCGGATGTGGCCTGAGCTTTTCGACATCAAGTGTCAGCCATCCTGCAGTACTGAGCTCAGTAGAGCATGTTTATTTAGCGTTTGATGTTCTCTGACTGGTCACTTCCTACATCACTACCTGGAGTCCTTGAGTAACCCTTAAAGACTTGTCCTGTGTGAAATGAGAGACTCTAGCATGCAGGCTCTTGGCTACAGAATAATATTACTCTCCATTACTTCCTGTCTGACGGGACAAAGTAGCATCCTGAGAGGAGTTGGGAATAGTGTTAAGAACGTATGCGTGTATACGCACTTATAAATATGTATATGGAAGAGCTTGTCACAAGAATTATTATATTTGGGAAAAAAATTAAAAATAAACTGTGGGAAAATCCACAATTGAAACATACAAAAATACTGAAAGGTTAACGTTTACAGGAGGGTTTGAGTTTTAGTCATAACTATAATTACCTGTATATACACTACCATTCAAAAGTTTTAATTAATTCTTCTAATCAGCAGAGACACATTAAATTGATAAAAAGTGCAAGTAAAGACTTTTATAATGATCTTTAAATGCTGTTTTTATTATCTTCCTATTCCTATCCATTTATTTCCATTCCTGGTGGAATGACCTACCCAACTCAATTCGAGCAGAGAAGTCCTTAGCCATCTTCAAGAAATAGCTAAAAACACATCTCCTCCATCTTTATTTGACCCTCTAACTCTAGCACTCTCTATTCTAATTCTATTTAATCTATTTGTTGACTTGACCCACTAACACTTGTACTCTCTATTCGTTTTCTAACTGCTTGTTTTCTTAAAAAAAGGCCTTTAACACTAGCTTTCTCCATTCTTTTAAAAAACCTTGCTACTGTACGTGTACTGCATGCTAACCGAGACTTGTTATAGCACTTGCATATTATTGCTCTTTTGTTGGTTTTGATTGCTTCTATTGTCATCATTTGTAAGTCGCTTTGGATAAAAGCGTCTGCTAAATGACTAAATGAAAATATTTTTTAACATTAATGTATTAACTACTGAGAAATGCATGTATTTATTAATCATTGATAACATTAGTTAATAAAAATGCAGCTTTTCATTAATTCATGTTCGCTCAGGTCAAATAAATAATATGAACAGATACTGTACAACTTTTGATTTTAATAAATTGAACACTAGCTAAGATTGATAAATGCTTTACAAGTATTTGTCATTGTTAGTTCATATTTATTAATGTAATTAATGATAACAAATGGAATCTTTTTGTAAAGTATTGCCAAGAAATGTTTTTTGAGCACCAAATAATTTGATTGAAGTAATGGCTGTCGATGTTGATAACTAAGCAAAAGTGTCTATGTGTGTGTGTGTGTGTGTGTGAACTCACATCAATAATCTGTGGAGTTTGTGTAGGTGACTGTGCATTAGTGGTGCTTTTGTTTCCAGCCTTCATGGCAGCATCTCTACGGGCCTGTTCCAATAGCAGCCTGGCCCTCTCCTTCAGCTCCTCTTGACGAGACAGGACCTTCTGCAATCCACAGAAAGAGGTTTCATTACATTTTGAGTGTAACAAAGTTTTACTTTGTATAACCACTTTGCATAAGCATGATCTGTTTCACCTTCTCTTCACTGGTGTTAGACACTGGGGCGGGTATGACTTCCTGAAAAAACATGGAAAAAAACATAACATAAGAACAAATCTGTGTATGCCCTATCACCCTATATGTTGTGAGTCAGATTAGCATCTCTTCCTAACACTATCAAGCTTTGCGCTCTCATTACGGGCTCCAGCAGGCAGCTGATTGGCTGATTGGCATGGCGGTGATTCTGACAGCTGAGAGGAGACGTTTGCTCCTGATCACTGTTAACATCACGGGTGAGAACTGGTATAAAACAAAAAAAAATTAAGGTGGTGCCAAGTAATTGTCGCCATGGTAACGCACCTCTCATGTCACAGCTGAGGCCTTGATGACATGTCAAAACAAAATCAGGACAAATCTAAGCCGGGAAGTAATTCAGTGGAAGAAATGACAGTGATACATGGCGAGAGTGTGATAAAAGTTGGTTGTGCTGCAAAACCTGCAAGTGTGTGTGTGTGTGTGTATGCTGTATAGATGAGGAGAGGCTCTCATGCGGAACACGCTATAACCCGTGTCAGTATTAAAGCTGCAGGCGGGACGGCCCGAACATAATGACATGCCACTCCGAGTGACACGCGGCTGCTCTCTGTGCCGATCAGGCGTCTCACAAAATGGCAAAAATATCAAACATGTAAAAAGCTTCAAACAGTTTTATGTGCTTTGATTTTATATGGCAGCTTTTCTCCTTTAAGCTGTAACTGCTGTTCTGTTGGGAGTGTTCAGGGGATTATTCATTTAACATGCATGTATATCTACCTGAGTTTGTTAACTCAAATTGTGTTTCTGTGTATTTATGTTTGCTTGATTGTTTTGGACCATTAGTCCTGTGCGGTTTGGTCATTTTGAATGCTCAACAAGATTCTACTTTTTGACCAATGAATTTCCATAATGTTTCCATGACTTTTCCAGTCGTTTGTGACGTTTAAATAATTTTTAAATGACACACACAAAGTGTCATTTTTAATCAATTAAACACTTTGGTACTGAGTATAAATATGGTAGAAATTATTTCCATGACTTTCCTAGGAAATTTTGAAATTCCTTGATATTTCCAGGTTATCCAGAATCTTGGGAAGGAGGGTTGTGTGTGACATTAAAAATTGATGATTCCAACTCAACTCTTGAATTTTAATTGAAATTAAATTAATGGGATTTTTAAGCAAAAATAAAAAATGTTGAAAAAAGGCTCAGAAGTTTTAAGGTTTACTGACCTTAGGGAGAAAGAAAGATTTAATAGAATGACAGAAAGAATAATATATAGAATCGTAGATTGATAGAAAGAATGATAGAACAGTAGAATGATAAAATAGATATAATGATAGAATGACAGAACGATAGATACAATGATATAATGACAGAACAACAAAACAACAGTACGACGGACGGACAGATAGATATATAGAACATTAGATAGAATGAGAGTCAGACAGATATAACAATATACAAAAAGATAGAATGAACAAACAACAGACAGAAGGTTTATAGACCTTGGGAAGAGAAAGACAGACAGAAGGACAAAAAGAATGACAGAGCAAGAGACAGACAGATAGACAGATAGATAGTTTTGTGTGTGTGTTGACATTTACCTGTGTGAGTTTAGCAGGTGTGTGTGTGTGGTTGGTCTGGGCACTGCTGTCAGATTCAGAGTGGCGCAAACTCGCTCTCTTCTTCTTGATAAGATCAGTGTCTCTGTTATACGTGAAGCCCAGTTTGTGTGTGTTCGTTAGAGAAGACCCGGTCTGCCACGTGGGTGACCCAGAATCAATTTGTCTTTCACCAGGCCGTGGGGTCTCGTGCTGCTCCCTGGAGTCTCTGGTGTCAGCAGCAGTCAACCCACCTGATTGCCCTCTCTCCTTTTCTCTCTCCAGCCTGTGAGACAGATCACCCATGTCCAGTGTATCGGCTTTGAGGAGTTTTTTCTGTTCTGCAGAGGGAGGTTGGCTGGTGGGGGTCTCCAGGCTGGTTCTGGTGCTTTGGGCGGATCGTGGGTGAGGTTCAGTGACCGTTGTAGCTACTGGAGAGTCACGGTCTGCTGTAGTCGCCTGTAAAGATGGAGCTACATCTTTTAGAACTTCCCCTGGGGAGGTGGATAGAGAACCACATCCCCCAACTGTCATGACTGACTTCACTTCCTGCTCTTCTTTAACACCATGCCCACCATTGGTTGCTGCAGCACCCTGATTGTTGGGCTCTTGGTGAATGTCGTTAAGTTCTGCGTAGAACTTGTCTTGGTCGATAGAACTGTTTGTATCCGTTTCAAAGTCTCCAACTTTGTATGTGCTACGACTGCTGTTGGCTTCGATCTGCACAACATTGAGTTCCTCTCCACTGAAATGTGCCCGGATCTGATACAGGTACGTCATCACTGTCAGCTTATCCGGGATCGCCAATAGAACCATGTCAGACGGCTCCAGAAGCCGAGAGATTCCCAGACTGGCGAAGCCATCATATGCCTGCATACACAAAAAACAGATGATGTTTAAAAAAAAGCATAGAAAGTAAAGGGCGGTATAAAATAAAACAGTACATAAAACAAGAACTGGTGTACAAAAAAGAAGGATTGATTGAAGGAAAACAACTGACTGATTTCATTTCAGTTGTGTCAATCCTTCGCAGAACCATTAACACTGTTGCTGAAGGGTAAATAGCTGAATATAGGGTGCAAAATGTACTTTATTTTTCTAAACTAAACTAAACTAGAATTAATCTGTCAACCAAATGCATCAAAATTCATCAAAACTAAAATAAGTCTGGGTCAGACAATAATTCTTCAAAATAAATAAATAATAAATGATAAATAAATGAATAAACAATAGAATATGTGATAGAACATCATGACAGAATGATTGACAGACAGAAAACAGATGAGATAAATAGATATCTTCAAAATAAAATTTGTAAAATGTAATTAAATTATATCAAATTAAAAGTAAATAAATAAAAAATCTGGGTCAGTCTATAGGGCTGTATAAATTTTTTTTAATTAAAATAAATTAACACTGCTTTTTCAAAAAAAACAAAAAAAACCTTTATAGATTTATTTATCAAAACCAATTTATACTCGTATTTGGAGTATAGTATGTGTTAATTAAAGTGGAAAGGGTGGGCTTTGTAGGGTGTCAGGGGAAAGGTAAAGGTGAAATAAATATGAGGTGGGATGGGTAGTGTATTCGTTGAAAGCTAAAGAGGAAATGGTAGCATAAAGGTGAAAGGGACAGTCAGGGTGGAGGGTGAAGGCTGAAAATGAATGGTAGGGTGAAAGGGTAAACTAAAGGGTGGGATGGAAGGCCAAGCTATAGGATGAAGGGAAAAGGGGAATGCCAGGGTAAAGGGTAAAAGGGAAGAAGGGGGTGTGTAGGGTGATGGGAGGGAGAGGCAGTTAGGGTGTAGGGTGCATGCAGGAATTAGATTTTGGATAAGACAAGCTGGGATCAGTAGGATGCGGCAGGCGGTGACAGCTAATGTCAAGGATGGTTTTCCATGATAAGAGAGCACGATACCAAGAAACACTAAACTAATCCTGCCTCAGTCTTATCGCATACATCTCCCACTCGCCCTCCTTCCATCTCTCTCTCTTTCTCCCCCTTTCCGTCACTCTCTCTCTCTCTCGGCAGTGAGTATAATTGCACTGATTTGTCCGGTTGAGGAGAACAGGCAGATAATCAAACAGCCAAACTCAATCCCTGATCAGGAGATAGAGGCAGAGAGACAGAAACGGAAGGAAGAAGTGAAAGTAAACTGGCTGACATTATCTCCGTAATCCACCGAACGAATGAAAGAAAAGTTACTTTCTCTTTCTCTTAAGAATTTGAGAACACAACAGTATAAAGAAAAGCCTACAAATTAGCCTTCTGTCTCGCCCCCGATTCGATTTATCAGAGCTGCTATCAGAGCCAAGCTGATGGCCGAGAGAATTTCACCCTATTGACGAGTGTTGACTATTGTCTCAACCTCTGTCGCTTACCCATCTACTGACTTTATCAGGTTTGTCCCCTTTATTGGTGTGAGTGAGTGAGAGAAAGCAAGAGAAAAGGAGGGGAGGGATAATCAAAGGTAAGCCGATTCTCAATTTACAATTAATCACATCTTTCTTTCTCTCGTGCCTTCTCTTTTTCATGTTTGCTGGAGGCTAACAATAGCGATGGTGATGTAGACCTTTGCAGAGCGAGGGAAATGTAAGGTACAGACAGCTGAATAGAAAAAACGAGGAATGAATACGAAAACAAAAAAGTCTGCAGGTATGTGTTGTTTGGGTATTAACTCTAAAGAAAAAGTGTATAATTGGTGGAACGAATGAAACTAAAGTGTCTGATGGAGATTCTTAAACTACATTCACACTGCAGCCGAATGTGGCACAAATCTAAATACTTTTTCACATGTGAAAAAAAAAACAGTTTTTGACAGGACAGTATTTTTCCTTTTTTTGGTTTAAAAAAAAAACTTTTTAGAAGCTTAGCAAGGCGACGTTTTTTGGATTATAAATACAGTAAAAAAAAAAAGTAAAACTATGAATTATTATTACAATTTAAAATAATGTGCTTTCAATTTTAATATATTTTAAAAACTTAATTTATTCCTTTTTTACATTTATTTTTGGCGTTTTTGCATTTTTTTATGCATTTTTTAGGACAGGACAGTCACTTAGACAGATACTTTTTCACATGTGAAAAAAAAAACAGTTTTTGACAGGACAGTATTTTTCCTTTTTTTGGTTTAAAAAAAAAACTTTTTAGAAGCTTAGCAAGGCGACGTTTTTTGGATTATAAATACAGTAAAAAAAAAAAGTAAAACTATGAATTATTATTACAATTTAAAATAATGTGCTTTCAATTTTAATATATTTTAAAAACTTAATTTATTCCTTTTTTACATTTATTTTTGGCGTTTTTGCATTTATTAGGACAGGACAGTCACTTAGACAGGAAGCAAAGTGGGAGGGGGGAGGGTGGGGTGGGGGTGAGCAGGATTGAGAAAGGTCCATGAGCCGGGACTCGAACTCGGGACGCCCGAAAGGGATATTTTGATGAATGTCAAAAGAATAGTTCAAAAGAATAGCATTTATTTGAAACAGAGACATTATAAAGATCCTTACTGCCAACTTTGATCAATTTAATACATCTTCACTGAATAAAAGCATTAATTTATTTAAAAAGGAAAAAACGTACCTAACCCAAACTTTTGATTTGTTATGTATAAAACACATATAATAATAATAAAGGATAAGGAAAAAATATGATGAATAAAAATTATAAAAATTAAAGTTATTACATTATAATTATTATTTTCTATTAAATTACATATATTATAAAGAGTGTATGTAGTTATCGGTATCGGCCAAAATGTTCATATCGGTGCATCCCTAGTATCAATGTCTAATACATAGAGCATCAAGCTGCCTGGGAGAGGGGAAAAGGGTAAACAAGAAAGGTGTCTCTCAGTCTTATTGCTCTAGTCTTCAAAACAGCAAATCATACTTGAATAAAATAAATACACCATGTAAACAGCAGTTTGTGTGTCCAAACAAGGTGCTCAGATGATACAAGCCCAAAAACATGCTTCTGATGTACTACAAAAGCCATTTATTCAACTAACAGAAGTGTTCTGTTTGCTCTCTATATGTATAAATGATGCAGCCGCACTAATAACCCGTGTGAACTGTGCAATTGTGTTTAAGACTTTCCCTCCCTGCTCCGGTCGGTCAGCCCCTCCCCCGCACTAAACGGACAATGAAAAGCATTTTGTTTTGTGAATGACATCGCTGAATGATTGGCAGGTATCCATCACTGTCAGTCACAAACACAGCCAGAGGGGCTTTTCCCCCCGTCCGCACATTTATCGAGGAACACAGGAACACATACACACATGCGCACGCACAGATCAGATATCATGGGAAATTACTGCTAGTCTCTCTCTAGACACACACAGAGAAAATAATTCTTTTCACTGCCTGTATGACCAAACAGTCCTCTCCTCTCCCCTCTGCTACTGATTGCTCTTATCTGTCATATTTCAATGGAGATTATTGCAATCACGACTGGGCCAGAGAGGGTCGTGCTGATTCTATCACATGGAAATGAATGCAGTTTATATAAATGTGTGTGTTTGGGGCTGTATAGAGAGTGCTCTTAACCTCCTCAGCTTGGGATAGTCATTTATCGTTGAAAGAGAACGAGAGGACATACTCTTCGCCGTGTCGAAGAGAGAAAAACTGCGTATATGACAGTCCCAGACCGAGAGAGAGCAGGAAATGAACTCAGGAATCGACTGCAGGTATTGAGTGTAGGGATAAAGTGATGACAGATGAAAGAAATGGAGGGAAAGGAGAGAGAGGAGCACATTAAATACACCTAATAAAGTCTAAATGGAGTTAATCTGAGGGCTGAAATAAGAGTTAATCTGCAGCACTTCCAGATTACAGTGATCGTTCAATGGAGTGGAATTACAGAGGAATTAAGTTTTATACATCCACAAATCTAAATAGATTCCAAACAAATCCAGGAAGCAACTCTTCAGCAAATATACATTTGCTTAGTATCGTGCACTGCTGTGCATTGTGTGTGCGTGTTTTGAGAGAGAGGAAGAGAGATGCTTGGAGTAATACTTGTTGGCACAGCCACCTAGCGGTTTATTTAAACAGTTATTTGAGAGCTGACAGCAATATCCACACCTTCCTCGCTCTCTCTCAAAGCTCATTCGTTGTGTACATCCCACTGAAAATTCCTGAAAGGATGGAACAAAGTATAATGTAAAACAATAACGAGAGAAAGAGGGAAGAAAGTGACTAAAAGAAAGTGAAAGAAAAAAAGAGGAATGGGAGGGGTGCAAAGCAACAGATTATATCTTTTTTTTAAAGGTTCCATCTTTAGATCTAAATTTTATATATGTGAATATTATATTAATATATATGAATTTTAATATATATTTTAAAATGTAATTTATTCCTGTGATGGCAAAGCTGAATTTTCAGCAGCTATTACTCCAGTTTTCAGCGTCACATGATCCTTCAAAAATCATTCTAATATGCCGATTGGGTGCGGATCAACTGTGTCCATATAAAACTATTGCTAAAAAAAAGAAAAAGGAATAATAATAACAATATTTCAAAAGTCTATACGGGCTTGGGTCGGGGTGTAGTGATGATTATACTCTATAACTCCTTAACAAAAAAAAACAAAGGAATAGTTCACCCAAACATTAAAATTCTGTCATTAATTACTCACCTTCATGTCGTTCCAAACCTGTAAGACCTTTGTTCATCTTCGGAGCACAAATTAAGATATTTTTAAATGCATTCCGACTACAAGGAAAACAAAAATAACTACTTTATTCAACAATTCGTCTCCTCCGCATCACCCTATAGTGCCAGTTTGGAGTATCACATACGTTAAAAGGTTCATATGATGTGATTACAATTTTTCCTTTCTCTTTGAAGTGTTACAAGCTCTTGTAATGT